ACCCCAGAGGTAGGAGAAGATACATTGAGTCCAACTCTGTGCAGTCACTCTGTTCCTTCAGTCAGCTGGCGGCCACAGAAAGATGAAGAAAGAAAGCACTTTTCTGCACTTATGCAATGCTCACCCCTCTCCTGAAGCAGCCTGAGAAATTGAGGTGACTGAGAACCTCAAATCAGACTACATTGGTTCATCCTTCCACAACAGTCCTAGTTTCTCATGTGGCCCCTAGGAAAAATGAATTGCCCATCCCTGCTCTAAGCTGGTAGATTCAGGTTTTCTGCATTGAAATCCATCACTCTTTCCTATTAACTCTTACCAGATATAGTGAACAAAAATTGCTTCCTTATCCATATTGAACTCTTCCACAATTATTTTTGTTGATGTAGCTGTATGCAGTAGTGTGCATGTTGTACTGCTATCTGGGCAGCAGATCTCTGGTTTAAAGGCTTCAAATCCACATATAGTGAAACCTCAAGCAAGTATTGGTTTATATTAAAAAATCTTTCTATAGTTCATTGACAATTGCTGACCAAGATGGAAATAAATTGAATTAATACATCTGGAAGCCTTTCTTCTAAAAACACTGGCTAGCCAACTGGCTGCCTCCGAATAATTTGCACTGCAAAAACAGAAATGTCCCTGTTTTTTCAATCCTGATCCATCAGCTGTGCCAACAATAGCTTCTCCTAAATGTTAATTTAGAATTAATCACCCTGTTATCTCTTTGAATTAATCTGCAGTGTCATTCAGTTGTTGCTACTGAATGCCAGGTCACACTGTAATAAGACATCTCTCATCTGTAATTTCATCACGGATGAGGGCTGACTTGGCATGTACTACTGATGTCTCACTGGGTTCAGAAAGGGATGTTCCCCTCTTATAAATGTACCTGGGCTTCAGGTGCGGCATCAATCAAGACTCCAGATTAGCAATAGGGTTACCATCTGGGAATGGTTCTCAGAGATATTATTTCACAGGTCACCAGATGTGAGACGTAATTTATTAAGCTGGACTCTAGGGATCAGTTGAGATTGGTGCTAGTAGCCTTTCTGCTACATAGTGACTTCTCTGATTGAGCTCCTTGACTCCACTTCTGGGTTGTCCATAGAGTTTCTCAGGCTTATGGTTCTAGAAGACTTCAGTATGGCGTCTGTAGGTCTAAGGCAGGGTTCTTCAAACTTGTCCCTTTTATGACTTGTGGACTTCAACTCCCAGAATTCCTCAGCGAGCGTGCCTGATAAGGAATTCTGGGAGTTGAAGTCCACAAGTCATAAAAGGGCCAAGTTTGAAGAACCCTGGTCTAAGGCTACTGAGGAGTTCATGACCACCATGGACCTGTCCTAGGTCATTTAGGGCCTGACTCATGACAGTGGTCACACACCTGATCTGGTTCTCTTGTTCAAGTGATGGTAAGATAATCTAGAATTGGGGGAGCTATCTGTGCCTCTGCTGATAAGGTCAGGCTACTCTCTGGTAGCCATGAGATTGTCTGGCACTGCACCTCACGGCAGAGAGGTGGGATCTTTTCAATTGCTCCACCCTAAGCAACTGATGGACACAGATGGGTTCCAAGAAAAGTGGGGGTTGTTTCTGATGATCTGTAACATGGTGCAGCCAAGGTTAGTTGATACCCACTCTGAAATGGGAAAGTGGCCATGGTTTTGGATTAGTTCATGCCAATGCAGTTTTTTCTTTTCCATGGATCTCAACAATTCCCAGAAAATGAGGGAAATGAAAAGGGTTATAAGACAGTTAGAACAATGCTGGTGGTCAACAAGGAGTGAACTTGACTAAACTAGTCTACTCTATGACAGTAAGGGTGACAAAATGTCAATATCTCTTCATCGTTATTTCAGCCACCTTAGATAAAGAGGTTCATCTATAGATTCACACAGAAGAAAAAGCAGGACATCTGATAAAATTATTCACTCTCAATTGGACACCAGTCTTGGTGCAAGTCCTATGGACATTTATGGAGCATTGCCTTGTTTGTTATCTGGGAGGATTGTTGGGCTGATAAAATGGACCAGTCCTCATGACTGTGCATTTAGCCATCTGTTTATGATGTTGAGATCCATGTCCCTCCTGGTTGATAAAGGCCTCTCAGGAGATGACATTCAAGTGGATCCTAGCTTTGAGGAGAGGGGGTTGTTCCTCTGCCTCTCAAGGAAACAGTGATTCACATATACCTCCAGAAGCCCTCACTGGCTCCAGCTGTATTCAACAACTTTGATCCAATATTCACCCTTCCCATTTTAGGGAAGGTTGTTGAGAAGGTGGTCATGCAACAGCTTCAAAGGATCCTGGATGAAGCAGATTATCTGGACTCCTTTCAATCAGGTTTCAGACTTGCACGCACATGCACATACACCAAACATATACATGTGATTAGATTAATGGTAAGGCCACACTTGGAATAGTAAGGCCACACTTGGAATACTGCATCCAGTTTTGGTCACCACGATGTAAAAAAGATGCTGAGACTCTAGAAAGAGTACAGAGAAGAGCAACAAAGATGATTAGGGGACTGGAGGCTAAAACATATAAGGAACAGTTGCTGGAATTGGGTATGTCTAGTTTAACGAAGAGAAGGACGAGGGGGGGACATGATAGCGATGTTCCAATATCTCAGGGGCTGCCACAAAGAAGAGGGAGTCAAGCTATTTTCCAAGGTGCCTGAAGGCAGGACAAGAAGCAATGGGTGGAAACTAATCAAGGAGAGAAGCAACCTAGAACCAAGGAGAAACTTCCTGACAGAACAATTAACCAGTGGAACAACCTGCCTCCAGAAGCGGTGAATGCTCCAACACTGGAAGTTTTTAAGAAGAGACTGGACAGCCATTTATCTGAAATGGTGTAGGGTTCCTGCCTGAGTAGGGAGTTGGACTTGATGCCCTCCAAGGTCCCTTCCAACTTTACTACTACTACTACTACTACTACTACTACTACTACTATTATTATTATTATTATTAACTTAAATGTTGCTGGCCCTCAGGAAGTCTCTTAAGACTTGGAGATCCAACGATGCTGGTTGGTTGCACTGTTAGTAATTTATTGTTTTAATTAACTGCTTTAATTGGTTTAAATGGGATTTATTTTGCTTTATTCCTAATTGTTGTTTTAATTATATAAGCCATTCAAAATCACTTAGGTAAGATGGGTGGCGATATAAATAACCAACTAAATAACTCATGTTTATTGATAAACTGTTCTTGTCGTTATAGAAAAAGAATATCCAAATAAAATATTAATGTTATCTGTTTCTCTTATAGCACTGGACTGAATACTTGAATTAAAAATAATAATTGTCCTTTATTGTTGGTGACCATCAAGATTTTCCATTAATTTGCATTAAAAAAGGAAGGTGTTGGGGAAGCAAAGATGAAGTAGCCTTTTCTAATTTAACACTCTTTAGATGTGTTGGGACTTCATTTCCCAGAATTCTCAGGCTTCAAGGGAAGCCAAGTTGGTGTATATTGGTTCTTTTTCTAAGACAGACCAAGAAACATTTTAGATACTATACAAGCTCGATATTGTTTCTACTTTTCCTTAAGTATTAAGTGAGAACCATTAATATCTCACCAGTATTATTTGTGCACCACAGGGAATTTATAAGGCATGGCAGCTGGTGATTAACTATTACAGCAAACTTGCTTTTTAATGGCTTTTAGCCAGCTAAATGTTGGCAACCATTCGAAAGTAATCTATCATAAATAGGAAGCATGTCCCCAGACTCATAATTAATATTTCCTAGACACTAGAGATTCCAAAAGTCAAAGAGGCTGAGATTTTTACTATTTTTTTTCCCATTTTTGTAGTACTGGGCCTTTCAAAAATGTGTTGTGTTTGTAGAATGTTCTGCAAATTGAGACTGAACGAGGCAGAGCCAAACAATTTGCAATTTCAACAACTGGCGGGAGAATGGTATGTTACCTTCAGATGGAGAAGTAGCCTTAAAGTGGCTGTGGTCCATATTTCTATTTTGTTCCAGAAAAACATCACATAGGCAGACCATATCACACATGCAGGTTTTGATTGCTTTTGGTAAACAGTCACTAAAAAAAAATGAATATTTGAGTTTAATTATAAATATAAAATTCACTCTCATGGAAATATTTAGTTTAAGTTTCCTGGTAGCCAAAGTTTGATTTCCCAGATTCTGTGGTCCCTGCATCTGAATCCAACTCATTCCATGATTCTACCTCCGCTTTAGTTGAAAAGGGGAAATTCGGTCTTATTCAACATTTCCCTAACAGGATCTGTATCAAAGCATTTGATTCCTTATATCGAGATAACAAAGGATATGCTAAGCCTTCTTTTACCTTCACTTACCCAAATATCCAGACTCAGTATGTAATATTCATTATACAGGTAGTCTCTCTTGCAACCATTTATTTAGTGACGGTTTCAAGTTACAGCAGCACTGAAAAAAAAGGGACATGACTTTTTCACACGTAGGATCATTGCAGCATCCCCATGGTCATGTCACCTTTTGCAACCTTCTGTCAAGCAAAGTGGAGATTCATTTAACAACTGTGATACTAACTTAACAGCTACAGTGATTCATCTATCAACTGTGGCAGGAAAGATGGTAAAATGGATAAGCAACTGTCCTGCTTATCAATGCAAATTTCGGTTGTGGTCTTAAGTCAAGGACTACCTGTATGGTACTACTGTTGCATGTTTTATTATGTATAGATGTTAGAATATTTATGCTGAAAGTATTAACTGCATTGTTAACATAGTCATCTTCATAAAAAAACACCCTCCTATTGTTTCTGTTCTGAATACGCGTGAACAGAGTACTTAATATCCTGTGGTTGGACAGAAGGGAAGAAACCCCAGGTATTTGGGCTGTTGAACAGAAAATGACTGCTCAAACCACAACGGAGATGCAAGGACTTTGCACTCAACCGACAGGGTGAAGACTTGCTCTGCTTTTTTAAGGTTGTGATTGTGTGCCTCTTTATCCTGAATTTGTATTTCTCCAATTTCTTCAGGCAACCCAATATATGAGTTTGATTTCAAAGGAAATGCAACCCGTGGCTGGCACAGAAGGTGCTTATTACCGTCGTAGAAGGTTGATGAGGCAACTTCCTCTTTATGATCAGGACCCTTCCCAATGTCGGGGCCTTTCGGAGAATGAAATCAAGTTGATGGAAGAGTTTATTAAGCAGTATAAAGACAATGCTCTTGGAGTTGGAGAAGTTGCACTGCTGGGTCAAGGGGGAGCTACCAAAGAAGAAGGAAAGCAATCTGATAAAAATACTGCAGCAAGTAAGGAAGCAGTTTCAACCAATGGCACATTGGGCCATCTATCAAAAGGGCAGGACTCGGTAAGTCATCAACACAGTGTTTCAGAGTTTGGGGAAAATGCATTTTTTAAAAAAGTATATAATTAATGGGTGTAGCTTGGATATTCAAATATGAAATACATAAAATCCTATCAAATCTTACTTGATTGAAAGATGGGAATACAGAAGGTATGTGGCTTTAGGGAATACAGAAGGTATGTGGATTCAGATATGCTACAATTCTTTTAGATACATGTAATTGCACCCAAAGCTTAAGCCTAATTAGTTCACAAACGTAATAGTCATGAACAATGAAGACAATAATGCTGCCAGTACAAATGATAAAAATCCAACAGCAGAAGTATTAGACGTGAAGTGACTGCCAGAAAAGGTGCTGAAATAAACAAAGCAAAAATATTGTACTGTAGAGTTTAGCCTTGGAAAGACATTCTATGAAATCCCTTCCTGGCATGGAGCCAGGTTATTTGGAGGACTGCCTTTTCCTGCTCAGGTCTGGCAGAAGAGGAATGTTGTGGGTCCTCTTCTGCCTTGAACCCACCCTGTGGAACATCAACCACCCCCCCTCCTCCAGGGTGAGATTGACCTCATCCCTGTCGAACTTCCTGAACTCTCTCAAAACTTTGTTGTGTTAATAGTCCAGGGAATCTTAAGGGAACAGTGAGATGATGGGGAGTTTCCATTGTTTGTAATATTTAATGCTTTCTCTTAGCTTTCTAATCCTAATATTAATGTTTTTAATCATAGATGTTTTATATTGCTATTTTATTATTGCTATTGTACCCACTTAGAGTCATATTTTGGGCAGCCATATAAAATGGATGGGAGAGAGAGGGAGGGAGGGAGGGAGGGAGGGAGGGAGGGAGAGAGAGTATCTCTGAAGCATTTTGATAGATGAAAATCATACAGAGATCATCTGAACTGCTTTTTGATCTTCCAAGTGTTGGTATTAAAATTATGGGCAACCTGTATAGGTTAGGTACTACTTTCAAAATAGCCATTTCCAAAAACAGCAGTCTGTAAGAGGATTCTTTTTTCCCCTTGTCATTTAAATCAGTATTTCAACTTCAGCAACTTTAAGATATGTGGACTTCATCTCCCAGAATTCTCCCAACATGATTTAAAAGCTATGAGCAGAGAGACCGATAGGAAAGTCGTGATTGTAATCTGCTGCATAGGTTTTGATATTGCTCTTCCCCAGAGCATAAAGAGAAGTTTGGCCTTGCTTGTTGGTTGGTTTGGAGAAACATATTCTTCTTAGTCTACATTGCATGTTGTTATAGCAGCAGCTCAGTCTTAGGAAAGGCTGCATCACCTCTGGAAATAAAAACTTACTAGTGGCAGAGGCTTTTATTAAAAGTGTTGTGAATACCACCATGGCATGATGAAATAATTTTGACTACAAAATCATCCCTCAAATAAATATGTAACTGCGGGTGTTTACTTTCTAGGAGATTTAAAATTTTACTTAGTATTCTATAAACATCAGTAGAAAGCCTAACTTCATTTAAAAAGTAATTGTACAGCTAAATGCTTCCACTGAAGAGTTTTTGCATTCTAAGAAAACAACATTAAGCATTTTGAGACTTGTCTCATGCATTCATTTCGACATTTAAGGCTGCGTGTATTTTTATTGACATTCATTTATACATCTTTATTACTTTATCAAAGTATAATCTGGTTTATAAATTGCAGCACAATTCTACAAGGATCCTTATATTTTTGTAATTTTTTAAAACTTTTGAAATTCTTAGTAGAAAACAACACAGTATTAACTTTCCATCATTTTCTTAAACTTGTTTATACTTCTCATTCCGATACTCTTTATCTATCAGAACAGTGCTGGAATTTTGTGAAAAATGCCAACATTTTATAGCACAAAGTTCTGTTATTGCTGAACAGCCACTGTCTAAAGCTACAGACAACATAGTTCTTGTTTTTGATGAAACCGGCTTTACATTCCAAAACATCCTTAATAAAGCCTTTGCTGTCTTCTGGATTTTAACCCCAGTGTAGGGCACTGCATAAATTCTACACAATGTTCTCCTTCTTCTTTTGATAGATGAGGAATTTCAAGGGTAACACTTGAAATAAGACCAGGATTTTCTAATTCATTTGTTTAAAACATTTGTATAGCCATCCATCTTATAGCCAACTCTGGGCGGTTCCTAGCCAAAATTTATGGGTTATGTATTGTATACGTAAATAACAAGTAATTATTGTTACTGAAGAAGCAAAATAGACTGGGTTCCCAAAGTGAGGGATAATATCCTATTAATGCTTCAATTTAAGCAACCCAAAATTCTTAGCTTTCTAGTTTGGCCAATGGAACTCTTTTTCTGCCCTCCTCCAATACAGTAATGTGGAAGATAAAAGTAAAGCCTCCTTCAATTTGAGTTCAACTCTTGACGACTTTATTAGTGCAACTTTCTTAGCAATGATTCAGAAGCATTTGGCTATTCCTGTTCCACGTTGTTTTTTTCAACTCCCCAGTCTAGCCTACAAGTCTGGACTTGATAGTTGTCTGCCAATCTCCTCTAGATTTCCAATAACTGTTAGAGCAGTGTTTCTCAACCTTGACCATTTTAAGGCATGTGGACTTCAACTCCCAGAATTCCACAGCCAGCTGGGACACACTGTGTTAGAGCACAGGTTGAGGTAAAAGCTTGCTTCTAAGCCATATACTGTACTAAGGCTGTTTATTTATATGTTCATACATACGTACATTCCATGCATACTTAAAAAGATTTCTATTTTTTTTCCTATCAAATGCTTTAAGGATTACTCAGGGCAGCTTTCCAGTATTTAAAATAATACCCAAATTAAAATGTATAAAAGACAAAACCAAAAATCAAACAAAAAATGTCCTTATACAAATTTTAAAGCAGTCAGAAGCAGCATATTATATTTTCTAACAGTTGTGCTGCCTGTGGAGGAAAGTCACTTGTTGGCAAAAAAAAAAAAAAAGCCACTGAGATGGTGTAAACGTGACCTCCTAAGTCAGGGAAGTTCAGCTTTGAATGCCAACACTGAGAAAGCTGTTCCAAGTGGGGAAGACATTAAATGTCTCTTTCTGCTGTGTGCTAAACCAGTGTTTCTTAACCTTGACAATTTTAAGGCATGTGGACTTTAACTCCCAGAATTCCACAGCCAGCAATGCTGGCTGTGGAATTCTGAGAGTTGAAGTCCACATGCCTTAAAATTGTCAAGGTTGAGAAACACTGTGCTAAACCATATGATGGTCCCAAAAGAAAGACTTTCCATCAATTCTTAGGGAGCAAAGAAGCTGTTATAAGAGGAGACAGCTCCTGAAACCTCCTGGACATAACCTGAGCTACTTGGGATAATTTCATCATTTATTTATTTAGAAAATGTATATGGCCATCTATGAGCCATGGTGGCACAGTGGTTAGCATGCAGGACTGCAGGCTACTTCTGCTGACTGCTGGCTACCTGCAATTTGGCAGTTGGAATCTTACCAGGCTCAAGGTTGACTCAGCCTTCCCATCTTTCTGAGGTCAGTAAAATGAGGACCCAGGTTGTTGTGGGCAACAGGTTGACTCTGTAAACCACTTAGAGAGGGCTGAAAAGCACTGTGAAGTGGTACATAACTCTAAGGGCTATTGCTATTGCTGCTATCTAAGACAAAATGACTCCAAGCAACTTATAAGAATAAAAGCTCAATACAAACCCCAATAAATCACCATCCCCCTGGTTACAACAATCAAATCAACCACTTTATGGGCTCCATATCACCCTGGTATCCCCAGGCCCATTGGCAAAACTATAGAATATCTTAAGGGTTTCGAAAGAGTGTTAAAGTGGGGGCCAATCTTCTTTTGGCAAGTATGATGAGGGAATCATCATGGAAAAAGGCCTTCTTGGTTCTACCGGGTGGATCTTTTTAAGAGAGGGAACCAGTAGCATACCCTGCCTCCCCACTCTGATGGGTCAGGTAGATACAACGTGGAAAAGATGTTCTTTCAAATAACCTGGCCCCAGGCCCCAGGCTTAACGGTGACAAACAGCTCCCATGTAGAGTGCATTTTGGGATATACAATCAGTTGGATATTAAACATTATCTTGATTCAGTTATTTGGCAAAAACATGAAGTATAATCATTATTGTCTTCAATAAATAGTATATTCAGTACTAAGCAACTAACTGGCGTTGCTTCTTATTCCAGTGCATTTTTTAAGCCAAGAGCCATCCCGTAAAAAGTAACTGTAAAAATGTCAGCACTTGCTTAACCACAATGGCTTAAGTTTTCCTGGCATAACTAAGTAGATACAAATCCTAATGCCAGATCTTGAAATCATAGGTTGTACTTCTCTATGTGTCTCTTAAAAAACAAAACAAATCATAGTCTTTCATAGTCTTTAAAATGGAAGCTTTGAAGTATTCCTTAGTCAATCAGGTTAAACCTATTTGATAACTTACAGTATAATGTTCAAGTATTTCTTGTCTAATATGACAAAAAGGTAATTGAGGGGGCCTCCAGCAATTGACTACTTTTTAGTAATTATGATCTGAAGTTATGCACTCCAAATTTAAATTGCACTGTTTCTTTCTTTCTTTCTTTCTTTCTTTCTTTCTTTCTTTCTCTCTCTCCCTCCCTCCCTCCCTCCCTCCCTCCCTTCTTTTCTTTCTTTCCTTGTAATTGTTCTGTTATTGTACTTTCCCCTTTTCTTGTGTTTAGAATTAGAATTTAGTGGAAAATATTAGTGGGACTCTGGGGATAAAGTTGAGAGGTGAGCACATGGAGTCTGGGACCATAAGCCATGTGACTCCATTAATCTTCTTGGAATGTGGATCTTGATTTAACACTGCAATGAGATAAAATGCCCAAATAACTTCTATATCTCTTGTCACCATCTGTTCACTGACTGGATAAATCTTTCTAATTTATTTTAAAGAGTTTTTTTTCTGTATCCAAATCATGCTATCATGAGGAGGGGGGGGACATGATAGCAGTGTTCCAATATCTCAGGGGCTGCCACAAAGAAGAGGGAGTGAAGCTATTCTCCAAAGCACCTGAAGGCAGAACAAGAAACAATGCCTGGAAACTAATCAAGGAGAGAAGCAACCTAGAACTAAGGAGAAACTTCCTGACAGTTAGAACAATTAACCAATGGAACAACCTGCCTCCAGAAGCGGTGAATGCTCCAACACTGGAGGTTTTTAAGAAGAGACTGAACAGCCATTTGTCTGAACAGGGGGTTGGACTAGATGACCTCCAAGGTCTCTTCCAACATCATTATTATTATTATTATTATCGATCATCGCACAGTCAGCCAGATGTTCAGACTGGATTTGGCATTTTGTCTACCTATCGAGTCCTTACCCAGGACCTGGGATAGGCAGATGTGGATGTTTGATGGTATTACAGATATCGTCGCAGGATGGAAGCAGTTCCTAATAAGGCCGCCTTTTGCAATTGACTAATAGCGAATTTGTCAATGCCAATTGTGTTCAAGTGGTGCTCCAGTTGTTTTGGGATTGCACCCAAGGAGCCTATGACTATTGGTACTACCTTGCTTGCTTTTGCCACAGTCTTTCTATTTCTATTTGTAGGTCTTTGTATTTTGTTATCTTCTCCAGTTCTTTCTCTTCTATTCTGCTATCTCCAGGCACTGCCACGTCCACTATCCAGACTTTTTTGTCTTTCTTATCGACAATTGTTAAGTCTGGGGTGTTATGTTGCAGGTGCTTGTCTGTTTGAATTCTGAAGTCCCAGATTATTATTATTATTATTATTATTATTATTATTATTATTATTATTATTATTATTATTAGCTTTGCTGTTGATTGCAGGCTTCTAATGTTTTAAGGAAAGAAGTGTATTGGCCATCCTGGTATTTTTCTGGAGAAATTTACTCCGGGCTTTAATAGCAAAAAGAACAACAAATTGACTGAGACAATCCATCATGGGCCAAGTTTAACCACCTATGAAAAGGGGACGTTGTGGGCAGAAGATTTTTCTGAAGAAAATATTTTCATTTCCCTTGAAACAAAATGAAAGTCTTGTCAGTATTGACTATGGAGATTCTCAGTCATCCAGGTCATGGTTGTCCCAATGGTGCTTTTTCAGGAGGCAACTGGACTTTCTTGTTTTTCTTTGAAGACATTTCGCTTCTCATCCAAGAAGCTTCTTCAGCTCTGACTGGATGGTGGGGAATGGAAGGATTTATATTCCGTGCAGACAGCCAGTCATTTGCATTCTTTTAGAGCAGGGATGGCGGCCCATGAGCTGGGTGCGTCACGCACAGGCTAAGCCCACCTTAGCTCTGCAAAGGCAAAAAATGTTGCAATACATCACGATACATCATGTGGCACAATCGAGTTTGACACCTGTGTTTTAGAGAGTCGATGAGGCCATTTGGAGGTATTACCTGTGTCCTCAGGGTCACCTGAGTAGTGCAAATTGTGTGGACCCTTCTTGGCTGCAAGATGTTTTCTGTGTCCCTTCACTGTTGAAGACAGGCGCAGGCTGTTGGGGATGAGTCTGGGTTGTCTGCATCTATTAATTAGGAGTTGGCAGATGGAGAGAACAGTTCAGTCTTCCTGTACAGTTTTGATTCAAGCTTACTTTGACTTGATCTTTAGCCTAGGAAGGAAGTATTTTCCTTTGCTAAACCTTCACAATATCTGATCTAGTCTTTTCTCCTTTAGCAACCATGATTTTCCATTCTTAGTAACTGTTCTAAAGCAAAATAGTTTAATTGTATGGAAATATTTAAAATATGTGGCCTTTCTTGAGGCCTTATGAGAAGTTTGGATTGGGCCTAGGCAAAGCAGGTGAAATGTAGAACAAGGAGTGGGCAATTTGTGGTCCTTAGTATAATTTCATGCAGCTCTTCCCAAAAGCTGCTTCAAACCAGCTTGGAGGACAGCAATGGCAAGCATGAAAAGGTAATGTCAGAATGGAGAATAAGTAAGAAAAAGAATAGCAGAGAGAGAACGGAAGGGCTGTGAGGTGCTGCTGCTAAATCTGCCTGCCATAACTACTGTAAACTATGGTTGTGTTTTGTTGCTCCCAAAGGTGTATCTGTGCTGAAAGATGGCCATGGTAAGAAAATCACTCTCTAGCTCAGTGTTTCTCAAACTTAGCAACTTTAAGGCAGGGCTGGTTAGAGAATTCTGGGAACTGAAGTCCATACATCTTAAAGTTGATAGAGCTAAGAAACTGAAGGGAATTTGGGGCACTGAAATCAAATGCATTTCTAGGCTGTCGTAGAATAGTTATAGATTACCAAGACTCCAAAATGCACACATGAAGTAAAAACTGTAATGCATTATATAAACCCCGTCCAAAAGGAAATAAAACCACATAATCTTTCATTTCCCTGTGACTTAATACAGATAAATAATTCTGAATCACTTTTGTAAGAAATTGATATGTGGCTCATTTTACTTAGTATCTGGCATGTATAGTTTACTGTGTCTTTTACACAAATCGTAAATCAATGTATAGAAAGCCAACAGAATAAAATTATTGTTACTTCTGGTATTAAAGAGAAATGTGAGCTTATAGTTTATTGTTACTATATCATTTTTATACCATTCATTATGCTACTCTAAAGTAGCTATCCATTTATATTTCTTTATTGCTAAATCCAATATTATCAGAGATGATTTCACAACTATTTTATTTTTACTTAGGAAACTCATTTCTGAACATAAGAACCATACGTTTTTTATGGTTTTTATGGCATCTCAGAATGTTTCCACAAAAATGATAAAAGGGAGAAATCCATTTCACTGAATGGATGTTTATTTTGTTTTCATTTGTGTTTAAAATTAAAAAAATATATATGAGACCTTTTACTTGTTATCATGGGGCAGGCCAACATGCTATCATCTATTATGGAAATCACTCAAAATATACTATGTATAACAGGAAGAACCTATAGCCTTTCGCATGCTGCTGAATTACCTCTCCAAATAGCCTCTGCCATTAGCCATACCTGTTGAGGGTGCTGGGGATTATATCAGTGTTGAAAAACTTCAAGGACAACATCTGCATTGTTGCTGATCACCTTTAATATCACTAAGTGCTGAATATGCCTAGCAACCAATGACAAGTTTACATATTAAACTGACACATTCAGCACATTTATATACTGAGGCTTGCTTGTGGATGTTCCACTTTGGGTATCTTAATGTATTCAGTTCTAAAATTAAACAGAAGAGAATGTTTCCTAAGTTTTTGAGCCTAGCTCAGCAGAATTCCCTTTTCATTTTAAATTATTATATTTGCTTCACCCTTTTCTCTATTGGGCTGTTTTTTAATGATATAAAGTATTTTTTTTAAAATTGGACAACCTTATAAATGCTACACATACATATATACGTATATGAATGGAAAATCTCTGGAGAAGAGCAAATGGTGATGTGTTTGACTGTAAGCTGATTGAGAGAGATTCATTATTATGTGACTTTGATTTCTTTCCTAGTGCTGTGACTTCTGCAAGCAGCTGTTACCTGCTGAGTTTCCGGTAGTGTATGCAGACCGAGCCGGCTATAATCACCAGTGGCATCCATCATGTTTTGTGTGCTCTAAGTGCTCTGAACCACTTGTTGATTTGATCTACTTCTGGAACAATGGAGCCATCTGGTGTGGACGCCATTACTGTGACAGTATAAAGCCACGCTGCGCAGCTTGTGATGAGGTACGGTTACTGTGAAAATGGGTATCCATCTCTTGTCTGCATTGGACCCTATTGTGAGATAGTCTAAACAGCTGCAAGGAGTCAGACATTTATCCAACATCTTTTCTCTCCTTTCCCTTTTAAGCAGGATCCGTATTGATTTGCTAAAAAGGAATTAAAAGTGTGCAGAGTGTTTTTATATATGGTGATCAATGGGATGATCTTTTGCTCATTTCTTCTGGGAAATGTTTGGATTATAAGTGAATTTTCCAGCATGTTTATTTTATACCATGATGTTAAGTGCATGTATTTTGTTTGAACTTAAGCTTAAAAAGGCTAAAACAGAATTCATTTTTACAAGGAGGGAGGGTAGAGAGACTCTGTAATCTGCTGCCATTCGGAAGTAAGCTACCCCAGGAGCTGCAGCCAAGTTACAGGTAGCAAACAGACAACACATTTGCCTTGTATTCTCTGTCTTATCCTGTTTCTAAAAGAACTGCTCTAAGCTTGTGGTAGAATTAGCTTACTTTCTCCTCCTCCGTCCCCTTAAAGCTAATATGTGGACATAGGCTATTTAGTTTGTATTGATCTTACTAAAGCGACTCCAGGGATAAATTTTTTATTCCTTCCAAATTGGTCCCTTGAGCCTGATATTAAGTACATATACAGTTAAATGTTTTACAGCAATATATTTCCAATAAGAATTCTTGTACCTCTCAGATCTGTCATCATAAATGTTATTTAGCACATAAATGCATCCTTCAGAAAAATGCCCCAGCTGATCTAGCTGAGTTTATAGTTCTTCCATCTCCATGTTTCTTTTTTTAAAAATAATTTATCAAAATCTAGGCTTGCCAATAGGGCTCGGTTTCTCATTCTTTGAAAATCTCTGAGGAGACCTTGCTTTTCTCTAAAACAATAGCCATCCAGGATCCAAGCTTAATTTTTCAGAGCTCACAATCATGGCATCTATTTTCAGAGCCAGAATTATATGAAGTAAACTGGGATATGGGAAATAAAGAAAAAAACAAAAACAAATTGAAAATCTTTCGTATTACTAAATAAATGCTAAATCCCACATGCTAGATTGTAGGGAATATTTTTTTAAAAAAAAAAAAAAAAACACCTAGCTACAAAAAGGTAAATTTGTATCTTTTTAAAATATCCTTTCTGTACCTTATTTCCTCTGTCAGTTGACCCATTGTAGAGTTGAAAGGATCTTGAAAATCAATCAGATATCTGCTCAGTACAATAAGCAGTACTTGGCTGTGTTTGTTCATTGTTTTTTTCTGTCTCACAGCAGCTGATGAAATGGTTCCTTTTTGGACATTCTTGACACCCGTGTAGCATATATGCCTGAGACTAGCTATGGCCTAGCCAATTTTTTACATGTTAACCATTACACTGTGATAGTTAAGAGTTGGGTAACATTTAATGTTAACTTTGATCAAAGCGATTTGGCTTTATTCTTATCATGCTGTAAAGCTCACTAACAGCTCCTTTGTAGGTTTCTATAGGAAGAGCAATATACAGCATACTGAGCTTCCTGAATTATGGTACAGTAGCTACCATTTCAAGAAGGAACTCTGTGTAGTGAGCATGGACTACTGTGAAGAGAAGGAAATAGAATTTGGGAAAGGCATAAAATACATATGAGAATAGGTTAGCAAACATGGTTTTCCTGGAACTTAAATTACTTAAGGAATTCCTGCTTCAGATACATATTGTATAAAGAACACAATATATTTCAGTGAATTCAAAAAGTCTCCTAGCCAAAGGTACTTTTCAAACATTTGTTTTAAACAATGCTTAGAACTAAATGTAAACTTGTTCTGCAGCTTGGTTGGACCAGAACTCTGCTCTTTATAGGAAGGTGTAAATATTTATTTTCTGTGCAAAGCTAAGTAGCATGGGTGCACTCTTTACACTGTTGGCTTGTCAACAGCATTGTGTTTGTATCTCTGTGCGTGTTTTCATAACGAAGACATTCAGGAAAGGAATGATAAGTGGACTTGTTTACTTTTACAGATAATATTTTCTGATGACTACCTGCAAACTGAAGGCCTTACCTGGCACAAACAGCATTTCATCTGCCTGGAATGTGAGACCTTGCTGGCTGGCAAACCCTTCATCCTGGACGCAGCCAGCCTGTGGTGTACCTCTTGCAGTAAAAACAAGCTCCCTTAAACTGGGTGTCATTTCAATGCTGATGTTTTTGTGTGTTCTGACTTGGAACGGACTCATTGGTGGGGAGGTCTTAAGCCAAAGAAGTTGCATCCTAAGGATTTAGATCACTAAGGTTATTTGCAGTCAAGTAGTTACAGGAAATGAGATGGGAAATGATAATGCAGTAGGAGAAGAATAGAGGAATGGAATGTTCTAGGCCTTTCAGGAAAGACATTAAACATTACAAAAAACTAGGCCCCATTATGTTAAATTATTTCAACTTTGGTATATTACAAACACAACTATTCCAGGAGGTATACACACACACACACACACACATACACACAGTTATCATTGTGCTGCTGGGTTTTGCTGCTTTTTTGGGGGGGGGGGTAACCAAAGGACTATATTTCTAAACTAAATATCACAAAATCATTGCCTACAAATGAGTAGTTTTAGAAATATAGATAGAATGATATAGTGGGAAAATAGAACCACCAATATCTGCAAAAGAAGTATTTCCCTTCTCTGTGTGTTATAACGCATTGCCTCCAAGAAACATGATTACTGTGTGAAAAATAGGTTACATAAGAAGTGGTTTGACAGTTTAAAGAACCTGAAAGCAGAATAGCTTGTGAGGGATCATTGGAAAAATATAGGTTATAATGGATGATTTTTCTTTTAAAAATGCTATCTAGAAGTAGAATTAAAGCAAAATATATGTTTGATGAGCTTTCTCGGTTATACTGTATTCAGTGTTTTTCTGTCCCATCATTTTTTTTTCTCATTGGGGGCAGCAAACGGATGAAAATACTTCACTTTAGTGCATTTAGAAAACTCCTATGTGGAATTTTTGACAACAGTCACACGGCGGGAGTAAAGGCTAATAAATCTCAGCACATTAGTACTTCATCTCTGGAGGCGTTGCGTACACAACATTGCTTTCATAGACTAGAAACAAGTAATCACATAAAATCAGCTTAGATATTCTTGACAACTTCTCCCTACACCATTGTTGAACAGTTGTGGCAATAGGATCGGTTCACACGAGTCACCTTTAAGCACGTGAATACCAGCATTGTTTTGTGTAGCCCCTAAAGAAAATTGCTTGAAACCTTCCCAATGGGATTGAATTTTGCTATTGCCACCCCAGCCACCTAATGGTCAACAATGAAAGGAGTTGTGTTTGTATTACATCTGGAAGGAGAAGAGAATTTAACATGTATATAGAGACTATTAATATTAAATTCTCAATTGCTGCATCCCATCATAGATTCTGAAATGGACAGCAAAACTCATTTTTCTTAATATTTGTGATAGGCCTTTTTTGCTTTAACAGTAAGAACTGTTAAGAAAAGAAAATAGTAATGAGCTTTGTTTATAGCAAGTGAGTGCATGCAAAAATATATTGGCTTTCTTGGTAAAAAATACTTTGAAATTCTAAAAGCTAGCCAATTAATTCTACTAGGATTAGCAACAAGTTTATGTTGGCTAGGTTTGCTGTTTCAACTAATACCAAGGCCCTTTACTATTCATTAGCAAACAGAAAAACATTTGTTTGTTAAATAACATTAGATTTGCTCAATTAGTAATGACAATTTATAGAAATCTTTAATGCAATATAAGGAATTAAGACAGAGAACTGGAAAATATCTGTTTGGTTTTAGACACAACATGTATTAACATTTTTGTGTGTTTGAAAGCAAATTAGAACTTCAACTTTTTATGGGAATAAGAGATTTGTCCTATTTGTCCTATACTGTTCACCTAATATAAGCATCTCCAAAAATTTAATGAAGACACCTCTTGCAGATACAAAACTGTTGTGTCTTTCAATGTATACAGTATATACAACAGAACTCCATGGGCATTTATGAAGTGTGTGTTTCTTTAAGAAAGTGTGTTCAGTTCAGTTATGTAGGCATCTCATACATGTTAACAGAACTGCATCTCAATGTCTCTTAAATCTATATTTGACACTCGGGACAGTAAGTAACTAACATGGGTGCTAATTTGGTAGGATCTACAAAAAACTAACTTTAGTGTATTCCTGCAAATTGGAAGAGAAGCCTATGAGCGATGGGCATTTGAAAGAAATTCCTGCAGAAGTCTATCCTCAGGTAGAAAAATCTGAATGCTAAATCAGTTAACCAGAAGTAGCTTAAACCAATTTGACCTTCCTTTCCTACAAAAGAGGCAGTTGTTCAGGTACATACCATATTTTTTGAGGTGCTGTTTATCATGGAGCATTATTAATAGTCATTGACTGCTATTAGTGGCTAGCAAAATGATTCTCAAGATACAGGAGAATCTGATTATGATTCTTCTTTATTTCTTCTGTGTTTTAGTTTAGGTAACTTCATGTATAATTTAGTTGATATGCAGCTGTTCTACTTCTGATCATTGGTCATGTTGGTGATTTGTGAGAGTGGAGACCACAACATGTTGCCTTCCTACATCCTGTAAGGATCAGCCAGACTATCACTTCCCCTAGTTTTAAATTTGTAATTTATCTATTCCAACAGGATGTCTCTGGAAGTACTAAAATTATAGTTCCCCTCATCCCCAACCAGCAAGGTCAAGGGGGATAACGGGTTAATAGTCCAATGCAATTGTAAAATATTACAGTTGAAAAGATTGCTATTTAACTTTATGGAATTTTTTTATCTAATTGTCAGTGGGATGCTGGAACTGCATAATTATGTGGCTTTTTATTTTGGTGGAATACTAAATTCATTCTGGACTGTGCCTAATAGCTTTTGTATGTTGATGAGATTTAAGTTCTATATATGGCAGGGGAACTTTGCAGCTGTGTGTGTTTAGAGCAGTGTTTCTCAACCTTGACAATTTTAAGGCAATGCTGGCTGTGGAATTCTGGGAGTTGAAGTCCACATGCCTTAAAATTGTCAAAGTTGAGAAACACTGGTTTAGAGGAATGAGCTTTTCTTCTATCACACGACAGAAACTACATTTGTGATTAATTTCCAAAGGGAATAGGATTAGTATAATACTAATTGAATTTCTACCTTCCACCCAGCTGTTGTATCCACTGACTGGCATTCCTCCTTATGCCTATGTAATTTTCTTCCAGTTATGGTTCTCATGGATATGGAAGGTCTATCAATCCAAATACAAAGAATTTGCAAGCCATTGTTTAGGACTGAATGAGAATAAAGAAGCACACAGGGCACACTCATCTGTGTTATGACCAGCAGATTGCAACGTTCATGCCAAAGAAACTTCATTAAGTCATTTTGCATCACTGCAGGTTTTAAAAGTAAATAAATGGCATATTCTAAAGTGGATTGAGGCAGATCACAAAGGTTGCTCCGGCATCATGTTCTAGGAATTGCACTCCATGGCATTGTGCCTATATGCAAGAGATGTTAAGGTCCATAATGCCAGAAGCAACCTGATTATGCATTTTAGATGTCATTTCAGGTTTGATTCCCTGGGAATCAAATTACTTACAATTACTTTATCAGTAATGGAACATAGGGCGCTCAGCCTTGCTTCCCTACAATCATTTTTTTTCTTTCATTGGGAATGAGACTTGGAGTTGGCTTGTTGCTTCTGCATTTACATATGGATCTGTGTGTGTGTGTGTGTGTACTTTGTATTGTTTAAAATATAGAGCTTAATGTATCTAATATTTTTCCCAAAAAAATAACTGACAAGCCATGGAAATGTATCTAAATGCTTCAATATAAAATGTTCAATAAAATATTAAAATGAAAGTTGTTTGAAATGTTGTCATTTAATTGATCAACAAAGTTTAAGTTATTCCTAAGAAAGCTCCAGTGGATAGAACAAAAGTGAGTATAGTAAATTATAATTAAATAATTTCTTAATGAGTGAGGTACTTTAAATTCCCCTTTACACTCTGACTTTGCTGTTAGATAACATTGTTACACGCCTTGTTCATACGAGTCACTCCCTTTTTAAAATCCATATTCAGTCATCACCTATTCATTCTTGAACCTTGCTATTCATGTTTTATTCCACATATTTAAAACCCTATTCCCATTTCATTTTCAACTTTGCTTTATGTTTCCCCACATGTATCCCTCGCTTTCAGGTAACAAACTACAGGAAGTCCTCAACTTACAACCAGGATTTCGATCTATAAGTGATGCAATCATCAAGCAAGTCTTCCTAATTCAGGCATGTCAAACTTGTGACGTCACATGATGTCGCACATTGTATTGTGACTTTTCGCCCATTTCTGGCAATGGGGTGGACACAATTTCAGTATGATGCATCCGGCCTGACATGCCTGCCCTAACTGGACCTGATTTTATGACCATTTCATGTGGTCACTAAGTGAATCACATTATTGTTAAGTACATCTGGCTTCCAAGATTGACTTTGCTGATTGGAAGCTGGCTAGGAAGGTCACCAATTGCAATGATGTGATCACAATATACCGCAACCATTGAAAATGCAAGTTGGTTGTCAAGCACCCAAACTGTGAACACATGACTGTAGGGGTTGTTCTGTAGTTGAAAATTTGAGCATGAGTTGTAAGTCATTTTTTCTGAGGCAGTCATAAATGAATCATCATTGAAGACTACCTAGAAGCAGCATGCACATGTATGCATTGTCTCCTCTTTTTAACAAAGATTCCTTCCTCTCACGTGTTACCCATTCTACCAATATTTGCACAATTTAAATTTCTCCATCTATTTTTTTCATATTTAGTAAAATTTATACCAAGGTAAACAAACAATTTATCTAGATGCTCTACTCTTTCACCACTTATATATACTGTAGCTTGCAATCATTTGAATCATATGACCTAACACTTCCTGCAAATCATAAATTATCTCAGCCGTCAGCACATCATCATCTGTCTAAAAAAGGGCATGTACATCCAGTTCCCCAACCATCATACATCCAACATTAACATAAGCATTCCTTACATATTTATTCAAAAATATTATTCATCAACTGTGAGAACTTGAAATCAAAATCACACATATCAGTTCCATAATCTGTTGGTGAATTGTATAAATCTGAGTACAAATTACCATATAATGAAGAAGCTAACATGTACTTTACCTTGCTACCTTAAATATCCTCTTATATTGTAAAATATCATGCTTTGTACCTGAAGAGGGTGAATTCTCTTCCTCCCCCTTCTCCCTTTTCCAAGAGCTGCTGGAGAGTTAAAATAACTGGAAAAGTAGCTAAATTCAATTTCACCAACATATTCTCACTCTGTTTGCAGCACATGAAGAGTTACAGTATCTTGTTGATTTGGATTGCACTTTATGGTAAATCAAATTTTCTTAATTGTGATTTGAATAAGGTACAGTTGGCTCAATTGGCACAATACTATATTGTTAAGCCACAACAGAAGATGGGTTCACATAACATATTAAATGGTAGCTAAACTACTTAAGATTTAGTACAATGTGTGGTTGCACTCATATTTGAGATGAGAGAAAGCAACAATAGTTGAAGTTCTAGATTATAACCTTTCCTCCTATAAACCTGGTAGGCTATGTGTATGATGATAAGAGAAAATTAGGATGAAAGTGTGTGAAGAAATGTTCTCTTGTGCTGCCTCATCAAACAATTGTTAGGTTTTTTTCCTCCATTCTTGTGTGGTTTGGAAGACATCTATATCTAACTCAGTGTCAGAGCATATTTTTTACTTACAAAAAGTTCTAAGTTCAATTCTAAGGCTGGAAGAATCAGCCCCAAACTCTGATTTGCCACTGCCAATCCGTATTGACCTCAGTAACCAAAATGCCTTGATAGAAAGCAAATTCCTATTTTCTTAAATCCATGACTTTTAGAGATAGGCAGAGTCTTAAAAGCATGTTGTCTGCTTGTAATTCAGTACACACAAGGTCAGCGCAGACCACTTATCACACTCTTGGGTTGTTTTAGCTGATGTTCGATGGGGATCTTAGCCTCCTGAAATTTAATTCTTCACAGCATAGAAGGAAAACACTAAGTAAACAGTCTAATCCAACAGCAGGTTTATTCTGCAGCCTGAAGGGCAAATTGTACTTGGGCCAAATTGACTAATTGGCATAGCAGAATTCAATCAATAGCAAAGATATAAATACTACATCTGTTTCATATTGACCACTGCAGACTGAAGTTTCATCCAGAGTTGCCTTTTGCAATCGGGTAAAAAGAACCATTGGTCCTGATGAGGAAATATCCATTCTTCCTTTGGACACTAGCATCTCGGGTGAAGTAGTAGCCTTGCAAAGCTGGGATACTGGTAGTCCTCAAAGTCGGGCACCTTATTTTTACTATCTAGAGAAATCTAATCTGATTAAAGATGAGAATAGGAGAAACTTTGAGTAAGCCAGAACCTGTAGCCCCATGTGGCCCTTGGACACACAACTCCATCTCACTCAGAATTAAAGTTATTGTGACAGCACAAACATATGGGATGACACATGTAGTTCTCTTTGATCTTTTATGCCACTCTTTGTCATGTTTTCATTCGGAGTAGCTTTTATCCCTAAATGTATTTGAGTGAATCTGAACCAGACTGAGATGATTTGATTCCCCTCCCCCCCCCCATTTTGTGTTCTATGTTCATGTCTCATAAGTTTCCAATGTATTTTACAAATGCTGTATATTGTATGTCGCCTTGGGATTTTGCATAGCAAAGGTAGTAGTAGATCAGTTTCTTAAAATGATATTTGGAGCAATGATATTACATTAAAATATGTGAATTGTCCTCTTGTGTCTGATAGATGAATATGCAAATATATCTTAATTCTCAATTGTTTCATTCTTTGAATTTATGGTAAGTTTTTCCAGATTTTCTGGCTACAATTAAAGCTCTAGTAGAAATCTATGAGCCAAGAATGTCAATTTGCTTTGCAGATCAACTAGCGCAGGAGTTACATGTGCTGCATGTTTTCATGTATGGTACGCAGGCAATATTTCAGAAACACCAATTCTTTAATTGTGTCATTCAGGGTATTTTATTAGAAAAGTGAAAGTTTATGTTGCAACAAATAATATTTCCCCTCAAAACATACACAAAGAAAAATAAAATTTAAAAACTTCCTTGTATTTTCATAAAAGACAGGCAAGGCAACTTATTGATTAGAATGAAAGTATTCTCTGTTATCATTGTCCAGCGGGTCTTAAACATGGCCTGCTTAAACAACACCTTAAACATGATTTTATAGACCCATTTTATGAGTAGTATCTTAATACTAAGTTTTCCAGCATCCTTTTTCTACGTACCATCACCTGGAATCATTCATGTCTGTAAAGCAGATTCCAAAACAAAGATTCTGGAAAACAAATATTAATTTGGAAAAGAATGGTGTTTTAATGGTTTTTTTTAAAAAAAAAAATCTGTTAATTAGGCATACATATTCACAGTTTTGATCTATTTAATTCAGCAGCTAGTAAAAAAGATGGCTGCGACATTATTTCTGGAAGTGTAAGAATTGGCATATTCATTAGCCAACATATCTCTCCTAGGCCATGCTCATGAGCTACTGCTAAAATGAATAGAATGGAATGGAATGGAATAGAATAGAAGCTGAAAGGGACCTTGGAGGTCTTCTGTTTCAGACCCCTGCTCAAGCCCCTATACCATCTCAGACAGGTGAATGTCTAATCTCTTCTTAAAAACCTCCAGTGATGGAGCGCCCACAATTTCTGGGGGCAAGCTATTCCACTGGTTAATGGTCCTCACTGTTAGGAAGTTTCTCCTTAATTCCAGGTTGCTTCTTTGTGGCAGCTCCTCAAATACTGGAATACTGCTATCATATCTCCCCTATTTCTTATTTTCTTTAGACTAGCCAAACCCAAGTCCTGCAGCTGTTTTTCTTTTATATATTTGCGAAGCAAGCTGGTGATCTTACTCCTTATCTTCAAACATCCTGTTTGATTTTCTTTCATTTCCAACTGAAAATAGCCCTTCAAAGTGTTGCCCAGAGGTCCTACCCAACATACACTAATTGGGATCTGACCTAGACAACATACATTGTGACACACTATGCAAAATGTAGCAGTAACAATGGAATAGCCACTTGACTTATCATTCAGACCCATTTAAAGCAGCAAACTTTTTAATCAGGTTTCTGCTTAAAAATAGTCCTCGGTTTACAACCACAATTGAGACCAGAATTTCTATTGCAAAGCAAGATGGTTGTTAAGTGAGTCACACCTTGTTTTACAATCTTTTTCTGCCATGGTTGTTAAACAAATCACTACAGTTCTTAATTGAGACATACAATCGTTAGGCAAATCCAGCCTACCTCGGAAGCCACAAAGGGTGATCACATGACCTAGGTTGCCAAGAGCCCAAATTATGATCATACATAGGGATGCTGCAATGGTCATAATTGTGAGTTATAAATCATTTTGTTTCAGTGCCATTGTAACTTCAAAACAGTAGCTAAACAAATGGTTGTAAGCTGAGGACTACCTGTTCTTCATTTTTGGCCCATATTCCAGCTACTTTTAGGGTGATGTGTTGATGTTTAAGGAAAAAGAACATCTGATTGAGATCAGAAGCATCAGTGAAGAAATGAACTCATGGTAGAGAGAGGTGGAAAAAATGGAAGCAAATAGCGATATTCTCTCTGGAGTGACTTCATTTTACAATCTCTAGTGGTTCTGTCATTCTAAGGCAGAAAAGGAGATTATCTCTAACATTCAATATATCACTTTGTCTGCCCGTATACTTTGCTGATAACTAAAAGCTAGAAACAAATGTAAAAAGACAAGCACAATCTCTGGGGAAT